ATCTGCGAAAACATTTTCGTAATCCTTGAATTTGCATTTTTTGTATCAACCAGTGTGTCGTACTATTTCAACGTTGCCTAGCAATATTGAAATTTTGACTTAAACAGTCTTCCCTTTTTAAAGGTAACAGTTTCGTTAAAATGATTCAATGTGGCAATTTCCATTTCCTTTCTACATTTTGCTTCAACAGGGTCTTGAATCCCCAATAAATCTAATTTCCACAAATTTTCAATCTTCGATATGTGAATTAATAAAGAAGTCACTGCGACAGCATGAGTCACATTTTCCCTATCTTCCATATGATCAAACTGTTTTCCCATTAAAATCCAACCCATTTTGGTTTCCATTGTAACTAATGTTGAGTTCAAATGTTCAATTTTGTCCTTTACTAATTTCCAATAATTATTAGCTCCAATTAGCAAAGATATGTTGTTATCTAAAGATTCGTGATCAACATCTGCTAAAATTATTCCCCTATCTTTTAACAAATCCTTAATATTTCGGGTGGATAGTCTAGGTCAGCATTTGAGATCTCATCAGTCTCTAAAACCTCAATAATTAATTCCTGGTTATCAAATTTTTTACTTCTATTCGTGTGCAGTTCTGTTTGGTAAGCGCTTGAGATCTGGAAGTGTGAATCATTATTTCTTCTTTTCCCATGACTTCTAATCCCAGTTGTTTTGTTTAGATAGACGTTTCTGAATATACGAGCATTGACTAGTGCTGTCAAATAAACAACGAACTAATTTATTGCGTGACCTACTTTTAAGTTCTACTGTCGCCGTCTGTAAAAATATTTTATTCTTATCGATGCTAATGTGATTGCACCCTGAATTTTCTACACCTCTTGATTGCGATGCTTCGGGTTTTTTCTCATTTTTGTAACAAAGGGTTGCATTATGTTTTTTGTGACAGTATACACAAGAGTTTTTCTCAGAGCAGTCTGACAATCTATAAACTTGAGCCAGACAAACATAACATCTACCTTGTAATCTTGGCACATTTCGTTTCTCATTTACACTTATATTAGACTTTTCACTGTTAAGTGTGTTATTTTTGCAAAAAATACAATTTTCTTCTTTTACGGGAGCTAATAATTCTGCCAACGACGAGGGGTTAACTTTAGAGATAAACTTATTGTTTGTGTATTTAAAATTACTTTTGTATTTGTCGAAGTGTTTATTCTTTCTGTTCAATGGAACGAATTTCGGTTCTAGTTTGTTAATTGCGTACGTTTGTTCACAGCATTCAGTTTCTTCTTTCAAAAAAGCAATTAAACCTCATTAAAGCATCAGATTCCTCTTTTGGATCACACTTTCGTGATATTCGAGAATCATATCATGAGACAATAATTTCAATAATATCAGATTCAACAAGTGTCTGTACGAACCGGAAGTTACTCCTAAATTACTTAAGCTTCGAATGTTTATTTCACAAGCATCATGTAGTCTTCTTAGTGCATTTAAGTCAGAAGAATTTTTAACTGGTTCTATATTCAAAAGATTATTTATATCTTCAATTTTCTCTGGTTTTCCAAAGCGTTCTTTTAAAAGTTCTAAGCACGAATTGTAATTGTGTTCGGTTAACTGAAATCTTTCAATGACATTATATGCTTGCCCTATCAATAATGGTTTCAAGTATACGAATTTTTCAGTTTTGGTTAACGCTTTATTCTAATCAATCACAGCTTGAAAACTGTTAAAAAATTCTAACCATTTTCCTGCATCTCCTGAAAATTTTGGAATATTTAACTTTGGCAATTTCATAGCCAATGACGATACATTTATTTCAGAAACAGATGTGTTCAAAGAATTTGCATCTGATGCATTTTTCACAGACAAATTTCTATTACATTTATTAAATCTTATTTTAATTCTAAACTTTGCAGACATAATTTGTTCATTGTATTTATCACTTGCAGAAGAAATATCTTTTTTAAATTCTTTAGCATCTTTTAACTGAGTTTTGATTTGTGAATTCAATATTTTCAACGTGTTTTCTCCTTCGAGAAGTGTTTCATTCATCTCCTGCAATTCCTCAATATTTGTGTTTTCGATATTTTCTGATAACAAAGATTCTATTTTTGTAATTAATTTCGTAACGCTACTGCATTCATTCGTGTGTTTCTGCTTCAGTTTGTCTAAAGCTACCATGTTTAAAATTGACTAATCACAATCTTGAAACTCAGATTTTTTTTTTTCAAATTTTCAAAGAAAAAAAAAAGAATTGCTTACCTGTTTACAGGTAATCCATCTGCTAATCTTCGAAATTCTAATGCACAAGTCCCTTGGTGAAGGCACCACTAAAAGTGTTATTTCTAATCCATAGTTCTGTTTGGGAGAGCTTTCGATTTCTATATTCGATTCAATCATAACTTCATTTAAGTCTTAATGACTTTTTATTTACACACATTATAATTACAGTATTTACATGATAGTTGATAATTACTTTAATGACAGTACATTTTAGTTGGTTTCGAAATCGAAGTTAGTCTTTTTACTCCTCCGAGCGGCTCGAATCTAATTTCATTCTCAGATCTCAATTAGAGAAAAAGAAAGGAAGAATGCCCACCATCTAGTGGCAAGAATGAAACAGCAGAGAAGATTAAGGCAAATTTACATACTTATATGAAAAGTAAAATGAAATTATAGTGTTAGGATGAGATAAAGTATTGTTTCATATATAAAATAAGTGACTTTTATGCATATTTGTTTATAAAAAACCAATAAAATGTTATTCAGCATACATAAGAAGACAAAGTTAAAATTATATTATTCATTTTTTTCAAAACTTTTTATTTGTTGTTCTTATCTGGCTAGGAATTGTTGTTTGTAACAATCATTCGGATGGTTCTTTTTTAAATTTTGAAATGCTTTAAAAATTACCAAGCCAGAACTTTTTATTAAATATCTTTAAGGACTAGTCACTCAAAATTTATTCTATAGTATTAAAATGTAAGGCCGTAATCAGGAAAAGTTTTTTTAAATTCATCATATCTGAATTTTCAGACCATTTTCAGATCTGTTAGATAATTTAGTGTAATAATGGTTACATGAAATATTTTATGTCATGGCTGTTTGCATTTTTGAAGCAAACTCATTTGCACAGGAAGTATTAAAAAGAAATTACAGGGTTTGTGCCGTACTTAAAAAGTCTTTTGGCTTTTCGGAAATGATGATTTTTGGTCCTTAAAATCTTTAATTTTGGCCCAAACCAGCAAAAGATCGTTAATTTTACTCACCTGACATTTCTATCTGTGTTTTATGACTGCCGTTTTAAGTGTGAATTTTGAAGAAATTTTATTTTTGGTTTCATTGACAATTATGTATTTGATGGGTTATCATTTGAATTCTTTTCTACTACTTAATAAGGTAGGAGGCCTTGCCTTGATTAAAATATTAACAATTTGATTTTTTTCTTTTTTGAGAAGGAAGAATTCATAACATATTGTATCAAAAACATCCTTTCCCATTTTGAGTTATGATTCCTTTTATTATGGAGGACTAAATTTGGTTATTTCAAGATCAGTTTATATACAAAATTTTTTATCTGGATAATTTGCAATTTTTCAACAATTTTTCTTTTTACAAATGTAATAAAACTGATAAATATCATTAAAATAATGTAAATGTAGAAATAGCACTAAAATAAAACTTTATTTTTCCATATTTTAAAAATGACATTATTTTCCAATTTAGTGATTTAGGAATATTTTGATTAAGAAAAATAAATAAGATAATAAATGCTATGAAACTCGGTTTCTGAAACTCTTCTTAGCAAAAGCAAACACTACTTTAGTTATTTTGAAATTAATTTCTCTTTATATTTTTTCATTAGAGTTTTTTCTCCATGTAGTTGTTTCGGAATATTCAAACGTATGTCAGTTTTCTGTTTAAAATTCACTTTACCCCCCTTTTTTGTGAATTTTTTTATTCAAAAATCTTTTGGCTTTTTGCTTTAGAGTTGGAAGGATTAATTTTTAGACCTTGCACCTCTGAAGGTTTAGAATGAGTTGAAAGTATGATTTATTGACCTACGATTCCAAAAGAATCTGACTAAATGAAAAATGTGTTCATGGTATTACCATGTAATAAATGTGTGTTATAGGAAATTTGTCATGAATTTCTTATTTTATGAAAATTTTTGGAAGAACAGTAAAAATAAAGTTATTTGAATTTCCTTTTTTTGATCGTAGAAATCCTTTCTCTTTTTTTTTGGGGGGGGGGGGTCTTTTCACTAGACACAAGCATGGAAAATTGTAAAAATAGTTCTAATTTTGTCACTTGGATAGGCATCTACAGAAATTAATTTTCTTATTAATAAAGAAATTGAAAACTGACAATTGAAAAGAATAATCTTTTATGTCTCACTGCACCATACACAGGACATTTTGCCACTTGCTGCAATCTCTATGGGTCCCAAATTCTGCTGCTCAGTATCTGTTCTAAATTCTAAAGATTTTGCCAGCCCCAAGTTTTGTCGCTTATTATTTCAGTAACTTCTAAAAGTTCTGTACCACTGGCTCTGTTTGCTGGCAGTGACTTTATATATTTTCACATTTATTCTCAATACCCATATTATTATTAAAGAAATAACGATCTGCTATGCATTGTGCAAATACATACTTTAGAGTAATAGAAATCTTCAATTCAGTATGAAATTCTAAAATGTAAAAGAAACTTATTGAGAAAGAAATTGATTACATTAAGAGAAAGAAAATTATTCTTCAAAAGTATATTTTTAGAACATTAACAAATTAAGGAATGAAGCAGAGACTAGTGGGACCATTGATTTGTTTATTGAAAGAAAACTGATGTAAATTATCTAAAATTAATACATCTGAAAATTTTATGATGAAAATATCTTGATATTTTATGAACTTTTTGAAACTTGGTGAATTTCAAATACTGTCATAATATTTTATTTTTAATTAAACATTTTCTGGTATAGATTTGTCTTGTAAGTGATCATAATTAAAAAAATTCCATATCTTATTTTAGTGCTTTAGATGTGGAATCTGAAAGGGCTGTTCAAGAAGCATTAGACTATGCTGTGAAAGGTAATATTATGCTTTACATAATAAAATTTGAAAATCCTCATTTGGGGAAGGGAGATTAACTGATATTCTGTGGTGTAGCTAGGGAGGACATCTGTCTCTGGGTCCAGGGAGTGCCAAACTGACCTTATAAAATTTTAGAATGAACTGTTTTCCATTCTTGGCAAACAGGAGGTGAGCAAAATCTTCATTTGTCTATGGGCACTGAAAACACTAGCTACAGCTCTGCTGATGTTTATTACATGTTTATATCTTATAGTGTACTTTATGCATGATGTTGAATGAGTTACATTGTATTAGTAAAAATGCAAATTTTGCTTTGTATTCTAAATAAACTGGATAAAGAAAAACAAGTAATGAAATGGATTTTTTAAAAATAATTATTAAATACGTTTACTTAGGATAAGCAAACATATTTTCTAATTTTGAATGATATTTTTGCTAATTTTAAATCAGAACTATAATATGATATGAGGGACGCAGCCCAACCCTCCTGGCAGACTTTACGTCGCCCTATGGCTTTTTTGCGGGTTGCGCCAGAGCAAGCTAGAAACAACACCTTCAACAAACAGACATAAAGAACATAACTAAAAAGCAAAATTCAAATTAAAATCCCCACTGCAAGCTTTATTTTATTGATTAATCTTCATGATTATTCATGATTAATCTTCACCATCATTTTCCAGGCGAATTTTTTCAGTCTTTTAAAATCATTTAAAATATAATATATATTAAAAACATAATTTTTCTTAAACTCATTCCTGATATCAGTAAAATATTTACATGTTTCCACATAATACTCCATAGCTCCATAGTCTTGTAAAAATAGGAAGGAAAAATTATTATGACCTGTAATGATTTGGTTAATGTCAATGTCTTAAGTTTAACAAATTTCATATAACCTTTATTTCGATCAGACCTTTCCCACTCTTCCATCTATTTATCATAAATGCAGTCAAAAGTCTTTAATCCAGACTTGTCGGGACTTCGGCGATTCCGGATTATCGATTTTTCCGGATTATAGATCATCAGTTTAAATCTGGTAAGATGGCATGCAGAAATTATAACATTAAAAAATATGAAACCGTAATTTATGAAATAAAAACAATTATGATCTAAAGGGTATCAAAATTTACAAAAAAAAGCTTAATATTTATTTGTTTACTTTATTAAACATTTCTTTCAATGTAAGTTGTTTCGTTTTTTATGTGATAATACATTCTCGTTAATTATATAAACAGACATAATTTCTTGTTCAGTTACAAAGTTCCGCTGTTCAAGTCCTATAATTGCTATATCGAGAATACCGACTAATTTGTCAATCGAAATTTTTTCGTTTTCAGTAACCTCTGTTACTTTCTCCGCTATCGGAAGCGAATTATAATGACGAGGAATTTGATTTAAATCATATCAAAGACGGAGTACATCGAGATAAAATACTACATTTTGTAAGGAATTATAAGCCAAATAAAATAAAAACATCTGCCCTGAAGATAAGGATAGTGCTGACAGATCAACTTCCAATTCCTTGCGCGCCATGGCGTTAAAGATAAAAAAAGGATATGCCTTTATCCATTTTTTGAAGCAATTCCACTTTTTGTTTAATGGACTTTGAAACATACTTTCGCTTTGTAGATCCTTTACATATTAGTAAATATATATCAGAAATTCTATTTGACATAATCGAAATTTCAAGCTTACTTTTATAAAATTGCTCTAACAGTCTGCAAAAAATAATAAGTCGAATCCAATTCGAAGATTAAGGAACAACGCAATCTGCAACATTAACTTAGATAATTTTAGCTTAGCTTATACCGTCCGTTATACATTAAACGCGCATTCGTAAACGTATTTTGCGCACACGCGTTTTCGCAGCCGTAAAAGGTCTTATGTCAACGCGACGCATGCGCAGAAAGTTTGTAGCTTTGAGGTCCAGATTATAGATCATTCCGAATTATGAGTGTCCGAATTAACGACTTTTGACTGTATTGAGTTTAAATTTATTATTCTCAGTCTCTGTTCAATGATAATACAATGCAAAAGCAATGGTATCTTCCAGACCTGACCCGTCTGTATAAATGTCAATTTCCCCTATTTTAGGAGCATCCAAATAATATGGAATAAAAATTCTTTCAGCAGGGTGAATCAGATTTAAATAAAATTTTTCAAAAGCACACCATGTTACAATAGAATCCCCCTTTAATTTAAAATCAACATTTCTTGTTCTTAAACAAAATTTATCATAATAAAAAACAAATAGTTTGAAAGAGGGGGCACACCAGCCAGGATACAAACAACCTCAGTAGAGATCATTCTGAAACATCTAAGCATTAGTAACCAAGTTCTCTGCACTATGTCCAATTTCATACGAAGTCTAACCAGCTCCTCCACCTTGCAACCCCATGTGCCTATGCCATACATAATTCGGGGAATCACAACAGTCTCGTAGATTGACCTTATTATGGCATTTTTCATAGACAGAATTTCTATTATTTTTCATAGACAGAATTATTACAGGAAAGTTCCTCCTGTAATAATTTAAAATATATTCTGATTTTTTATGAACTATATTAAAATGTGAAATAAAATTTAATTTATCATCCACAATTACAACAAGATATTTAATTTCTTTTCTAAACTTTATTCTCTGATTGTTATATTTCAACCTTGGTTCTCGTGTCTGCTTTCCTGCACGGGGAAAGAACACACAGCATTTGTCTTTTGAATATCAAACTTTAATCCTACTTTTTCTCCCCAATCCTCTAATTCCAGAACTAATTCATTAAAAAAATATCCTTTGATTATTTCCAAAGATTTACCTTTTATAAGCACCAGAAGGTCATCAGCATAGGCTACCAAATGCATATATTCAAGAAAATGTCTTTTCAATAAATCATTTGCAATGAGGTTCCAGTACAGAGGAGCACTAGAAGACCCCTGAGGGCAACCCTTGCTAGAATCAATAATTATAGATTGACCATCTTCATTCTCATACACAATCTTAATTTTATTAAAATAATCTATAATAATGTTTAAAACATTCCTTGGTATCTTCAATTCAAGTAACTTTAAAACAAATGATGGTCAACGAATAGAATCGTTGTATTATAAGTATAAATTATAAGTATGAAAGCTCATAAGTAATATAAAGAAAATGTTCAAGTAATCATACACGGTGTAAAATTCAAAACACGCAGAATTTTTAAATAAGCTTCATGCAAATCAGGTAAATTCTCAAAAGCCTCAAAGTCATAAACAGTACATGAAACAAGTTCAATATAGGTATGAAAATGCATAAGCAATGTTAAATAAATGTTCAATTTAATTTATGCCACATTAAAATTAACTGCACACCAATTTTATAGATAGGCTATATGCAAATTGAGTAGATTCTTAAAAACATTATGAATTGAAGAAAATACTGAAAATAAGTTCAAGATATATGTGAGAAGTCTTAAGCAATATTAATAAAACATTCAATTAACCTCATACAGCATGAAATTCCACTAAACACTGTTTCTCAAACAACAAGAAAATAACAGGCATAAACAAACTCGCAGGTTAGGCTTAGCCAGCTCTGGAAATTCAGATTATCTAAATCGCTTGAAAAAGACTTGCATGCTCTATCCACTGATTTATTTCAATGTCGGAACACAAATATATTGTAAAACAAGCACATAAACTTGAAAAAGCATCATGAATAAATAATATCGGAACTATATTTTTGAATGTGTTACCTCTAGTATTCTATTATAAAAGTGATTCAATGCACTTTTTTGATTGGACAAAAAGATTCTGTGGTCTGTCGATACTTCATGTCTTCATAAAATATTTCAAAATTTTTTTAAATTGTTATTTTTAAACTAAGCTTTAGTAATGAGCATCCTTATTCTGTTGTGCTGATGAAAAAACTTTTATTGATATAAAAAGGGCTGTTAAATGTAACTTAAGCAGCTATTTTGAATAAGAGGAGAAATTTTTACTTCTAAAATATCAATATTCTGTCTAAAATGTGCTAAAGAATTCCAGCCAATATGATATTAGAAATTTTAGATTGTAATTCACATTTAATTGAGTTGAAATCTGTAACTTTATTTAAATAATGCATGGTTTAAAAAAATTATGAGCTATATTATTTATTTGAAGGGGTTTTTTTTTTTTTTTTTTTTTTTTTTTTTTGTTTACTGCATGGTTATATTTTCTGATATTGTAGGAAAATTACCATCAAATATAAACAAGGAACCTTTCTCAGTGCCAATTAATATTAGTCAATATACACTGGCTAGAGGGAAATGTCAAGTGGACTGAGATGAAAATTGAATGCCATTTTAATTATTGAACAGTTTATAGAAAATTTTGACCTTGTGTGCAAGGAAAAGTGCTTAAATTTTAATTTGAAAAATTGCATAAATATTGTATTATTATTGTTATTATTATCATCTCTCCCCTCCCACACATCACCAAATTAAACCAGACGTTTTAAAAGATTTATTTGTTTACATTTTACTGTTATAAAATTTCTAACTGGACTGGATATGCTTTATCCACATCCAGTGATAATAATTGGCAAAAATAAGTTTCCTGATTTGGTTAAGTTATTTTGGAGAACTAAGTAATAGTATTTTATCTGTAAAACATGGCACTTGTAAGAACTGTAGGCTTAGTTATGTGGTTTGACAACAGAGTTTTCAGATTCTCATAAACACTGAACCAGAAGACCTTATTTCCCAAGCACTGCTTTTCAATGAATTTGGATATGCTGATATCAGTTTGACAGAATTTACCATAGTTCTATTTGTATTAAAATTTCTCGAAGTCTTCATAGTATAAACACAAAGTTCATCAAAAAGCGTAAAACTTTAGCTACGTACTTTTATAACGTTTCCCTTTTTTCTGCTATGTAATCACATTTGTTTAGGGCTATTTTGATAACATTAAACAATGAGGGAAAATATTCTTCAAAATAGCAATGGAATTAACTAATTTAATATAAAAATATCAAGAAAGATATAAACTGGTATTTTTATAGCATTTTAATTAGGGAAAAGCAAAAGTTTGTTTATGAAGTGTTTAAAACATTTCTGAAAATTATTTAACCGATTCTGTACACCTAATTTTAATATTTGGAAGGTATCCCCATTCGATAAGTACTTGCGAAAATAGAGAATTTTAAACTAAGCTAAAAAGCAACTTAGTTGTTGCAATTGTTTTCAAGGTGTAACCTTAGTTTAGAATTATTCAAATTCTATGACATATTAAGGCTACTTTTTGTAGTTTAGAATTATTCAAATTCTATGACATATTAAGGCTGCTTTTTGTAGTTTAGAATTATTCAAATTCTATGACATATTAAGGCTGCTTTTTGCCCAATTTTAAATGGCTGTCTGAAATTGAAACCAAGCTATTAACTCCTCACTTGGCTACTTAACCTCTTTTTTGGCAACATTCCTGTGCCACTTCAAATTTCATAATCCATACAAACAAGTGGGGCTTTGGGAGATTGCTAGCAATATCCGAATGATAACATTAAGCAGTGATCACATTAAGCACCACTGATTGTAGTGGTTTTGTCTCACAAAAAGTTGTTTAAGTTACAAGGGCAAAGTTTTATCCTTAGAAATAGACTAGATGTAGTTGTAATTGGGAGGAGAAACTGCCAATTTATTTCCCCAAAATTCATATTCATTCTTAAATTTAAATTGTACTTTTTACTATGAAAAGAAATAAAAATTAACTAAATATGTATTTGTAAAAAATGTGCTTTTTGCCTTAGGACGCACTGTACTGGTGATAGCTCATCGCCTTAGTACTATACAAAACGCTGATGCTATTGCTGTTATTACAGGGGGAGTTGTTGCTGAAGTAAGTATTTATTAATTTTAAGGCTTGTGTTTTATGTAAGCAAATCAAACTATTTAAAATTTTGCTTGTATAGAGCATTATAAACATACGTAACTTTGTTAATTGCATTTCATATAATGTTATATAATATTATGATGAAAGCTATAGTTTCTCTTTCTTTTTGGTGAAATTCTTTTTGATAAAATAATTAGAAAAAAAGCACATACATATATGTATGAAATGATGCTTTTCACTATTATTAAGACATTTAAAATTTGCTTATTCTTTACAAAACCGGAAGACTCTACAACTTTCTCTAAATACTAAGGTATCCATCATATCTGCATATCCAGTTGAGCGAACTGGTGTTTATTCTTCACCAGTGACCAAAACGGATGCTAAATTTGCAGTTACTGTATAAAAGACCGTTCCTTGGACCACGGTAACTGGCCTTTTTGAACTGTTCTATCATTCCATTATAAAAAAAATTAAAAACACATTCTATTATATGAAAAACTAAAAGTACTTTAATTTTAAAAAAAAATATTTTTTCATAAGGTGTGAGCCTTCAATGTTTATCTTGAAACCATTAAGGAAATTCATACAATTTAAAAATTTCAAAGAATAATTTAATTCTTAAAATACTTCAAAAATATAAATTCAGAGAAATTTGAACAATTGTACAAAAATATTAATCATATTAGGAATCTTCCCAGAGTAAAATCCTCAAAATTCTTTACCTAATTTTTATCAAATCCAGTACTTTTTTTTAAAATTCAAATGAAATATAAAAACTACATTATAAATACATCATAAAATTTTTTAATTAATGACTTTCATCTAAAAATAATTTAACAAAATATTACTATCAATAAATCATAATATAATTACTTATAAATGCAAAGTTATTTTAAACCATATTTCACTACGCTGCAACACTGATCAAATGACCTTGATTCAAAACATTCTTTCTTAGTTCTTAAGAAAGTGCACCATGATGCTGTATTCTATTTTTCTCTTTTAGATTTTTAACTTGCAGATACTTAAGACACAATAACACGCCGAATAAATACTAATTCAGAAGTCAAACAAATTTTGTAAATTAACGCTGATTTTTGTTGTTTGACTTCTGAATTTGCAGATACTTGTTATCTATTATAAATTTCCTTTACACATCAAAGTTTTGAAGAGGTGGTCGGTTAATCTAGACAGTGCGATGACTTTCCCATTGGAATTTGGTCACACAGGATATGTATCCTAGTCCGATACATTTTAAATAATAGCTAATAGCTAGCAGAGGTAGAGTGACATGCTGTCAGCAGGCAGGGGAAGAGGCGAAAGAGAGAGAGAGAGAGACTGCACAGTTAGTAGGTATTTATACCAGATAGGTGCCTAAGTACAGCTAATCTGTGATTGGTTAGTTTTAGGTTGTTATGTAACATGGAAAGATCTTGAATTTGGGAGAACAGATGAATTTAGGCGGAGAGCACCAAATCTAGAATAGTTAATTTTGAGGTCGCCAATTATTCTTAAAGCAGCTGTCGTATTTTGTTATATCTTACATATATATATGTAAAATATAAAAGCTAGCTTTCAGATAATAAATTAATAGCCCTTTAACTCCTGTCTTCATTCTGAAAATAACGGAGCAGTACATTTTTTAACTAAACGTAAAAGATCAGTCATCTAACCTGTATTGCACTTTTACCAATGAAGTGCAAACTTAACACCTGTATATTAAACTGCCACTTGATCTGAAATGGAATGCGGTATAAAAGCTTAACTGCTTCGAAACTCTCCCTCTTCTTTCTTCCCACCTTGCCTCTATCCATGCAAAGTTTACTTTTCTAATTTTCGTTCTTTCAGAAGATGTAATCTGTTCAAAATTGGGGGTGCATAGCACACCCGCGGTGATAATGTGCATTATGCAGAAATAAAATTATTTGTGGAATTTAGGCCATGTCTACAAGTTTTTTGGTTTATGCATCCATCATTCTAACTACGCAATCAAGTTGTCTTCAAGTTATGAAGCAGAGAACCACTGCCAATCTGTTGCAGCTTACTTCTATCAAGTCATCTCATTACAATAATAATGCAGTCTTATATATATATGCATGTATATGTATAATATATAATAATATATATATATATCAATGCAGTCAGTCTCTCTCTATATAGGCTGCACTGATTTTGTGAAACATCCTTATTAATTTAGATAATGTGTCATTTGAATTAAAATATGCTATGAAAATTTATCACAACAACCTAACTTGAAACTTTTTTTAAAATTTGTATTTATTCTTGTTCAAAAAGGATTTGGTACATATCATTTTTGATTATTGCTGACAGATAGTCGTCGACGTATCTGTCCCCAAAACTAATAAATTAAAAATAATAATACATGAAGGAGGAGTTGCTGAACTCGAATGAAATGTATGCATATGTATAAAATTAATGTAATATTGATATGTTTAAATGATTATAATATTTATAAAAAAATGATAAGTTGTTAGACGAAACTGTACAATCCAAAAAAACTAGTGCCTAGACCAAATCTGTCTAGGAAGTTACAGTAGAGCATGCTGGTGTACACATTCCACATGGTATTCTATTACATGTTTATTTATAGATTGTGTAATTGGGCACTTAAATCCTCTGCACTTGTAGGCTACCATAGTTGACATTCCTGTGGGTCCCACAAATGCTTGATTGGTGATTAATTTTATGATGGAGCAAGTCAAGAGAGTGTATGAGCAAGCATAATCCTGTGGAAAAATGCCTGTTGGATGTCTAGCAATGAGAAGGATATTGTGTATATGGTTGCAGGAATCCTACACATATCCCTGAGCTGGTAGTTTCCTTTTCATCACTATAAGGGGTGATACATTGTCGTATGTGTTGGCTCAGAAGGGTAATATGTGGTAACAGGATTTCTACATATATCATTGAGCTGGCAATATCCTTGCATCCCCTATTAGGGTTGATTGATTGTTGTATGTGATGGCTAACATGCACTAATTTCAGCCATTTTGACTTGTGTGGCTTCATAGCAAAGGCAGTGGTAAAGTGGTCATCATCCATACTTGAATATTACTATTAAAATCTTGTATAAAACACCTGGACTCATTATCTATGGATGATGGGCGATGAAACTAATAGAACTGCTTATATTAGGGGACTGCTTTGTTGGAGATCAGATAATTGTGTCTGTTGGTGATCTATCTGGGTCATACAAGCATCTTTATCTTATATACTTAATAAAACTTAAATTCTGAAAACTTTGTTCTCCCCCCATATGATTTTTAGCATAATTTTTCAGATTAATTTCTGTTCCATCTGAACTGTTTAAATCCATTATAGAGAATTGAGAGAAATTGGTTTCTCCATAATTAAGTTTTTGTTAGCACAGGATTTTGAGAAAATTACAAAGGTTTCTATTTATATTTATGGTCTTGGCAACAGCAGATGATTCCAATCAAAAGTTTAATATTTTTAAGCATAACTTCTTCAGAACTTTTTCCCATTTTAGCATGATTTGTGTTGTGTGCAGTAAATTGAAAAATTCATCTTGGGTAAAAAATGGAATTACCTGCGAGCATTTTCATGTGATTATTTTTCATAACTTTCGATGTGGACAAAAGCTCAAAAGAAGCCTTATGTCGATTGGTGCAAGGAAATGTTGAAAAAATACATTCAAGGAGAATCATAGGCTGTGTATAACATCTACATGGGTGAAGATCATGGATCTATGCATATGAGCCCAAAACAAAACAGCAGCCGATTGCATGGGTCTTCCAAGACAGCCAAATCCAACAAAAGTTGTTCCTGGAAGAAGCACATCAAAGCAAATGGTTGCCTGTTTCTTTGGCATTACCGGCCATGTGGCAACAGTGGCATTAGCGCAAGACAGGTCGATCATTTCTGAATGGTAAACAACCATTTTTTTCACAGAAGTAATTGCACAAATTTGAAAAATCAGAAGAGGCGAATCGTTCTTCCATCATGACAATGCAAGCTGTTACACATTGGCGTAAACAAAGGAATTTTTGACAGGCCAAAGTATCAAATTGATGGGCCATCCACTGTACAGCCCTGATTTAGCACCCAACGACTTTTTTTATTCCCACATATCAACAAATAAATAAATAATAAATAAATAAGTAATATCAGCAATTTGCGACACCTGAAGTAGTTGTTGATGCATTCAAAATGCATGTTTTGGATACCTCAATCAGAGTGAAAAAAATGTTTTGAAAATAGGTTCAAACGAATGCAAAAGTGTGTTGATCTTCATTGAGAATGTTTTGAAAAATAACAAAAACAATTTCAATCATAAACATTTGTTTTTTCATTATTAGGCCAGAAATATAAATAGCAACCCTCATATAAAATCAAATATCACAAAAAACAACTCTTAGTATTTAATAAATTACTTAAAATTTTTATTGTATGCATTTTACATCAAAGTCATGTTATATTATAAATTTGAAATCCATGAAAACCTCTAGTTTTTCATGTTTCCAGGTTGACGTTTGTAAAAATAATCTCTTTATAGAGGCATGTTTAGCTTCAACAGTCTCTCAACAAGTGAAATAAGAGATTCACAATATAAAAGTTGGTTCTAAGCATCTTTTTACTGGAAAATAGAATAATATTATGACTTCTGGTGCCAAGACCCAGCGTCCAACCATACCACAACTGTTAATTACATGTCTACTTGAGATATAATTGCATATTTAGTTTTATAGCAATCCATCCATATCTGTCTGGTTGCCTTATTATTGACTATTAGTGATTATTTATGAAACTAAATAAATGATAATTATAATAATTTATTTCTTAAAATGTAAGAAATGGATTATTGTATTATTATGTATAGAAATATATTAATTTAATTTCTTAAAATATAAGATTACTTCAGAATCCCTACTAAAAAGCATATTATTGTGTTCTTTTAGTATGGAAATCATTCAAGTTTGACTAAGAAGAAAGGCCTGTATTGGAAACTTATAAAACAGCAGCAGGCTAAAGAAGAGATAGAAGAAAGACAGTCAGGATAACTGTTTAGTTCTGCTGTGAGAAAAGTGTACTAGGCTATTACTTAAAAATATCATCAGAACGATGCCAAAACCACAAATCTGTAAAATTGATATTTTGAGATGTTATAAAAAATAATTTTAGTGAAAACCCAAACTATGAATTTTATGTAATATTGTTTTATTAAAAGTCCATCATTTGCTTTTTATTTAAATGAGAAATAACATAATTTGAAAAATAGAACCAGCAATTTTTTCTTCTTTGGTAAAGGATATGGTAGACTTGATATTTGCAAAGGAATGTGCAAAAATGGAAATGCTATCTCTCATACCATAACACATCTCTGAAAGTAATAATAAAAGCAAGTATGGTGGAACAATGGAGAGAAACTGCAACAAAGATACAAAAATTATATTAAAATAAACTGTCAACTTAACAGAATTTTTGTCTAAAGAAAATCCTGTATTTTCTGCACATGACTAATAGGACCAAAATATAGGGATTCCATCTAGCCTTAAGCAATTTCAGTTAGCTTATTTAAATATGGTATAGCAGACAAGGGCTTTCGCTCTGTGGGATGAGATATCTTTGTGAAGGACTGTCTAAGGAAAACCGGCTCATATTCACATTACACATGGCAGAAACAGTGAAAACCAGGCATGTAGGCAGCCCATTCACCTGGGTTCAAACCAGATTGAACTACTATTATAGAGTAGTCTAAACCACTCAGCCAGTTGTGAGGTCGCTTAAATAATTTAATTAATGCATTGAGCATCATCTTGATTATGAGATGCATATTTTTTATAGTAAAGATTAAAGCTATACATATTTGTAATGTCATTTAGTAAGGTAGAATTGAATCATTTTAGTAACATGTTGCATGTGCATTTGTCTTCTGTATTTTTCTGGCAGCTTCTGATTGTTTAAATTCTATTTCTATGCAATAAGTCAAAGGAATGGAATTATTTGTTTTTAGTTTTATTCTGACAATTAGTACAAATGGACATTTTGAAATTGCTGTACATATATTGCAATTTTGAAAAATTAAATAATTGAATATTAAAAAAATATACTAGTAGCACAATATTTGCTTCAAAATGAAACTTCTGTTTACTTTAAAAATAAAGGTACACATGGCACATTTAATGGAGCAAACAGCCATACTTTGGTCATTGTCACATTCTTGCCACTAGGTGGCGGGCATCTCTTCCTTTACTTTTGCTGTAATTGAAGTTCCGAGAGGCAGTCGAGATTGGAACCGCTCTGAGGAGCGTAAAACGAAACCTCAGAGAACTAAAAATGTACTGTCTTTTAAATAATTATCACCTACCTTGTAAATAGTGTATATTAGCTTTTTATTTCAATAAATAATTAAAAGACAAGATGGCCTGCTAATTGTAATAGAAACTCTTACTGGAAAACGTGATTATTAGAAGCCTGGCGTCGAGAACACTGAAGATGCAGCAGGTAAGGAATTTTACATTAATTTTATTGTAAATAGAAGAACCTGATGCAACATTTTTATGGCGCCCGAACAGGGACGCCAGGTTTTTTGAAAAGTTCTAATAAAGTGAATTCAAAAGCTGAATATTAAAATTGAAGATTTTAATACTTGTTCTTGAAGTATTCAGCAAAAGAATAATTTTGTTTTCTAAGTAAGAGTTAAATATTTGTTTTTCATGAGACGTATATTTTTTGTGTAAATGTTTGAATCTAAGAAAGATAATGGCTGAAGTAGATAAATTAAAAAAGAAAAGAAGTATCTTAAGAACTGCCGTTACAAAACTATTTAAGAAAATCGAAAGTGAATTAAATAAATCTGAAGGTAGTATTAATGAGCTCGAAGAATTGTTAGAACAGCTTAATGCTAAAGCCGAAACACTAGCTAATGCCGATGTAGAAGTTGAACCAATTCTGAGTGTAGATGAATTCGAAATTACAGAACAATATCGTGAGAAGATAACGTTATGGAAATTTAGGCTTAAGAAACGGATTAAGGAACTTAATCATGACTTAAATGACCGAACACACAGCAAAATATAAAAGATACACCTAATGTTAAATTACCAAAACTTTCGATTCCCGTATTTTATGGGAACAGTAGTCAATGGCTTACTTTTTGGAATAGTTTTGAGTCCTCAATACATAATAACGAATCATTGAACAAAGTAGACAAATTTAATTACCTGAAAGCATATTTAGGAGGAACAGCTGCTAGTTGCGTTCAACGACTTCCGCTATCGCCAAAACATTATGATTCAGCAATTCAAATCTTACACGACCGTTTTGGAAGGAGAGACGTTCTTATTAATGCGCACATGAATGATTTGCTGAATGTTGAATCATTAAAAAATACGAATGACAAAAACATTTCGTAACTTGTATGATAAAGTACAAACACAGATTAGATGGTCTCGAAAGCGTTAGATGTTGTATCGGAATCTTACAGCGCTTTGCTGTGTCTGATGATTTTGAAGTTATTGCCTTCAGAATTAACGCTTGAATTTAATAGAACACAAAATGTTGGCACCGATTATAACGTAAAAGATTTAATGTCATTTTTACACGCAGAACTTTCATCCCGCGAACGCACAAGGTCAACGCTTTCGCAACAGCAAAAAGTATCCGATCGGCGACAGTCTTCTTCCCCCCCCCTGCAACGAAAAGCGCATATGGTCTCTCAAATAGACATAATAAACCGACCGCTACAGATTTGTTTACAAAATCCGAATGCAGAGAGGAAAATATGAACTGCGTCTTCTGTAATCAATTTCACAAGACTTATGACTGTAGTTTCGTTTCCGGCTTATCATTACAAGAAAAAAGGGACATTTTAAAAAGAAAATGTGCTTGCTATAAATGCCTAAAATTACACCATTTGGCTCAAAACTGCAGAACAAAATAACTTGTTCTATTTGTAAAAAACAACATGCAACTATTATGTGTAATAAACAAAATCCTTCTGTCGAGGTTTCGGAAATTAAAAAAGACGAACAGATAGAATTTCAAATCAAGCAGGATGTTCAGAAGTATATTTGCAAACTTTAATTGTTCGCATATATGGAAGAGGGAATAACCAATTTGTTCGAGCGATAATTTTCACCGGAAGTCAAAACTCATACATAAGCAGGTATGCAGCAGAAAGGTTACAATTAAGAAGCTTAGGTGAACAAAGTGTAACCCACGGACTTTTCGGCGGTATAGAAGTTTCGGAAAAACATAAACGTTATAGAATAAAATTGGGTAGCGTAGATAAACGGTATAATTGCGAAATCAATGTATTGGATGAAAGAAAAATATGTTCTTCGGTCCCTAAAATCAAAAATATACACTGGATTGGGGAACTTAGAAGAAGAGGAATTTACGTCAGTGATGTTTTTGAAAATGGAAATTGCAGATTATTCCAGGAGAACCCCCAAGAGATTAATTTGTTGTTAGGGGCAGATGTTGCGCTGCAAATTTATTTACAGGTAAAATCGAAGTTCTTCCTTGGGGAAGATTAGTTGCTGTAAGTACAAAGACTTGGGTGGACAGTCATGGGGAAAGCGAACACTGACAATTATGAAATAGAAAATTCCTTTTCCACGCTTTCGTTATCTTTACATATTTCTGATGTCACGTTGTCAGAACTGTGGAGGCTTGATGTTATCGGAATAACAGATCCAGTTACAAAAAAGGCTAGAGAGGAAAGGGATTTGCAAGCAAAATTGCAATTCGAAAATTCTGTATCTCTAAACGAAGAAGGGCGTTATGAAGTCGCACTTCCGTGGGCGGAGAATCATGTACCACTCTCCACTCACAAGGATTTAGCGTTGAAACGTCTACAATCTACCACCCAGAAACTTTTATCTCAAAATTTATTTTCTTCATACAATGCAGTTTTTAATGACTGGTGTAACTTAGGAGTGATCGAAGAAGTTAAAGAAAATATTGCGGTTGACTTTGGACATTATTTACCGCATAGACCGGTGATCAAAGAAAATAGCTCAACACCAATTCGACCGGTGTTTGATGCGTCTGCGAGGAAACAATTCGTCTCCTTCTCTAAATCAGTGTTTGGAGTGTGGGACCAAATTTGATAGAACTAATTCCATCTCTTTTGTTGAGATTTCGGGAAGGCAAGTTTGCTGCTATAGCAGACATTGAAAAGGCTTTCTTACAGATCAGTGTAAAGGCCTCAAGATAGAGACTGGCTTCGGTTTTTCTGGTGGAATGATGTGGAAGAAAAGGAAAACGAAAATATTTCGTCATACTAGGGTAGTATTTGGGGTTAAGAGTAGTCCTTTCCTTTTGGCAGCTGTTATAGAATTCCATCTACAAAAGTACGTGAAAAATTCTTCATATGATACGGAGATAATAGCTAAACTATTGCGTAGCTTCTACGTAGATAACTTTGTTGCCAGTTTTGACAAAGAATCCGAGATGATTCAGTTCATCGAAAAATCTCGAGAAATAATGAATGAAGGAAAGTTTAATCTTCGAGGTTGGTTACATAATGGAGATAACCTGAAACAGGAAACTACTCACATTTCACCCGTATTGGGTCTGTTATGGAACTGTCAGAAAGATAATTTAACTTTGAATCTGAATTGGCTAGAAGATTTTGAAAATGGGTATAATAACGAAGAGAAACAATTCTCGCTGTAACACACAAAATATTTGATCCTATTGGTATTGTGATCCTGTTCTCTTGTATCCTAAAGTATTGTTGCAGAACCTATGGAAAACAGGAATTCTTGGGATACTGAAGTTGACGAGAGTACAAAACAAAATTTTGTGAATTGGTATAAAAGCCTTTTTCTCTTAAAAGAAATATCCCTCCTACGTTGGATACATTCCAGCAAGGACAATAGGAAGTTCTGCAGCATTCACACATTCTGTGATGCCAGTAGTAATGCGTATGCTGCTGCAGTTTTCTTGAGAACTGTGACGAATTCTGGAGTTGAAGTTCATCTGTTGGCATCGAAGTCTAGAGTAGCTCCCGTAAAATCTATTACGATTCCCTCGTCTCTGGAATTGATAGCTGCCACAATAGGTGCCAGACTATGCTCTTCTGTTTTAAATGGTTTGCAATGGCAAAATATGGAAACGCATTTTTGGAACGGATTCTACAACAGTTTTGACATGGATTCAAAGGGAAGAGATTGTCTGGGCTGTCTTTGTGGAAAACAGAGTCAGGGAGATTAGGAAACTGACGGATCCAAAAAC